TCTGTCTACTACCTCAGTTTTTGAGATATCAACCGCCTTTTTCTCCCCAAGAAGCTGAAACTGAACGATCGGAATCAAGTGCTTATGTGGAAAGCTTTTTCATTCGACGAGATATCTTCACGACATTTGGCATTTAAGGCACCACTACAATCTCCAAATAAATTATTAAGATCGGACTACTATAGAATATAGCTTTCATACAAACTGGTCCATCAAAATCAAGAAAAAAAAGTTAAACTTTTTTATGCTATAAAAATTCACCTGTGAAAGGTATTGTAGCTTCGGTGCAGAAAATATTAATTCAAAATAATTTTCAAAATTCTAGGCTTAAATACCTGATGATTGAGGAATTGAAAATAAATTTTTAAATTTTAATTTTATTCTTAATACCGGTTCAAAAACAAAATGAGTTGTTAATTATGAGTTTATATTTAAATTTTTTTTTATTTAATTTTTAAATTAAATATATATTTTAACAATTATTTTCTGATTTGGGATTAAAAACTAAATTTCCAATTTTTTTTTTCAATTTTATTAACAATTAATCTTTCAAATTATAATCTAAAAGTTTTTTATAAGAAAACTCGCAACCCGGTTTAGACACATGTCATTTATAGCTGGTGATATTTTGTAGTTAATAATGAATCCACATTTTCAGCAATAATGAACTTGCTGAACCAATAAGAGGTGTGTTACAATATTTATTTTTTGACTTTCTTAATCATTAGGTAGACTTTTGGTGCAATCCAAACCATAATATAATGGTCTTTGAACTTTTTGAATAGAGAGCAAGATATAATTTAATTTTTACGTACTTAATCTATAACGAATGAATTTTATGTATTTGTCAAATACAATCCATCCACTTTATATCGTTTTCATTATGTTCTTTAATTAAAATTTCGAATATTTTTAAGTTAAGTAAGTTTTGGTTAAGTTTACGAGAGTATATATTAGGACAGTTTTTGTTGGTAATAAGCAAATTAGTAAATAACCACGCCTCCATTTCTCAACAACCAGTACCGACATTTAAAACGCCTCATCTGCTGTCCACTCCCTAGCTCCTCATCTACCCTTACTCCAGAATAAATATAAGCTTAGCGCAAACTATAAACTGCTTAACTGCATCCAAAGAACCATTAAGACTCTATCTGTCCTCTTGTCTCTTCGAGTGTGAGAGCAAAGACGAAAAAATCGCGCATTAGCATCTTAACGGCCAATTTAATGCGCTGACAGTGGCAAAGCCCACCAAATTAGCAGAAAATAAAACAAAAACATATATTTATGTACTAAACAAAGTATAAACACTCACACCATTTGAATCTATACATACATACATACTATAATATACACTCTTAAATATTATATAAGGAAGTGCAGAGTCAACTCCTCAGCGACTCACCTTCGGGAACAATACACTCGAGTGAAATCTTCAGAATTACTGAAAAAGTTTATCTTCTGTTGGTTCTTCTGCCCCGCAACTTCTCTCTCTTTCGTCTTGCTGTGTTCTTCGCTTTTACATTCACAGCGAAGCCTTAAGAGTGTCATTCTTTTGTAATTTAGGACGCTCTTGGGCGGTTTTCATAACTTTTCCTAAGGCCCTTTCTGTGCAATGCGACAGAGGTAGTGGGAATTTGTTTCTGTCATTGCATTGCTTTGGTGTTTTTGTTATACTTTTGTTGAGGTGTCGTAGCTTTTAGTTACATTTTGGATTGCTTCTATGATATTTAACTACGGAGTATTCTTGCTCATCATTTACTTATTAAGTTATTATTCGTTGGAAGTACCATTCAGACTACTGCATCGCAATTTCTTCCTTGATTTTAATTTAGTTCTTTTTATTAATTTTTTTAGACATATTTCCGTTGTGGGTTTATATATTATATTTAGGTAGGAATTTATACATATTTTTTTGATTAAAATATTTATACAAAATTTTCCCAAAAATTCGGAAATTTAACTCTCAAAATTTCGAATTTATCAATCGTAAATTCGTACGACTTCAGACACGCATTGGTTGAAATTTTATTAACATTGCAAGCTGATATCCCCACAATTATAATTTTTCAGTTAACCTTATTTCGGAAAGTGTAACTATTCTTATAATTTTGTTAGATGCTTGGCGGAACTTCTTCTATGAGACAAAAGTCTTAAAAGTTTCAAATAACTTCCAAACGACTGATGGATTGAGCAGCATTTTCCTCTGGGTAGTAAAAATGTTACTGTGACTCTTTTAACAAAATTTAGCATATCTTAGAATTTTGAATTGGAGTTCGCAACTGAGTGGCACTACACGGGGACTATAAAATAATTTTAACGAATGTGAGGAACAATGAGAACATAGCATCATGTACAATTGTACTAAATGATACAGACAGCCACTTCAAGTACAGTATTATTTGACTTAAGCTATTTATCGCACTCTGGCTAAGTTTGCCATTGAAATGTTGTCGACTAAACCAGTCCCATGAGCCAATATCGTCAATGCCGTGGTTTAATAAATTTCTTATGTTATGCTGCTCCATAAAAAATTTAATTTGATTTAGACTGATTACGGCGAAACAACTTTGAATGCTAGTTAAATGCTAGGCCATCATCTCCTCCATCAGCAATGTATAGGCTTATAAAATCCTTCGGTTAAAAAACACACCATCTTTGGTCTTAAGATGGCCTTAGGTTCTCTTTTATATACAATAACTACTTTGTAGTAAGACAAATTTATGCAAATTTCTAAGCTAGTAGAGGCATGGCTGTAACTGAACTGACTGATTTTAAACCAAACCCAGAATAGTTTTAGATATCTACGTAATACGCAAGTGAACACCGGTTATCTACATTCGATTCTTATTTTGCTTAAGGTTTTTAATGTTTTATTTTCCCCGTTAGATTTTACAGATCGTCTCCAGAAATTCTCTATATTCAAAAAATAACGAAATATTATACCTCATTTTTACATTCTTCGATTCGTCACTGCACGCTATGTTAGAGTACTGCTCTCTTGTTAAAAATTAACATGTGAAAGCAACTCAAAAGTTATTCAATTGAATTCAATAGTTTTCCATTTGATTTATTACAGTTGTTTGTTCGATTCGACACTCTCCAAAAAATAGTGAATATGTAGTAACGACTGATACTCATATCATTTAGCTGAATACTCTCTACTAACAAACCAATTCCTCGTTGTTGCTGTTATTTGGTCACCAATGTATCCAAGTCTGCTGCTGACAGCGGCAAATTAAAACGTTCGACTCGATTTGGTCAAAACGGAAGTGTCAGCACACAGACAACAACCACAGCAACCGCTGTTGAAGAGACGGAATTGCTGCTCAGCCACTGTCAACGCCAATTTTCGTCCCGCTGAGTGTTCGGTGTCAACATTTAATGACCAATTTCGCCACAACAGCGAGCCGAACACCCAGTCACAGTCAGTTATCCTGCATACCCTTTATTAGATAAGTCAAAAGCAACGAGTGGGGAGGAGGGTATTACTCTTTACAAGTTTTGCATATGTGGGTGTACGTTTTAGATAGCAGGACTTAGTAGCATTTGGGATGGTAATTTTTCACTGTATTAAAGTGTGAGTGTATGTGTGAGTTAGTAAGCATTTGGCTTCTGTGTTTGTCCCGTGCCGCCACGTTTTGTCGACTGCAGCACGCACTTTTTGATGTGGCATCATAAATCTTAACGGTCTCATAGCAAATCAGATAAAACAGATAACAAACTTTTGCTGTGTACCGATACGTGAACAACAATAACAATAGACAAAGTAATGAGAAGACAGCGGAAAAAAATAAACAACAAAATGTCGCGATTTGTTGCGAATACAATTTGAATAATTTGCTTTTTTAATGGTTGTCGACTTTAGCAACGACGAAGTATGAACGCGAACGCAAAAATCTTTCTCTGATGCTGAGGGGATGCGTCAACACACACACAGGGTGGTTGCTTGCTTGCGAAACTCTTTATTGCTTGCGGTTTTACCATTTTGTTGTTGTTTCATTATTGCTAATGTTGCGGTTGTTGTTGGAACTGACATAGCTGTTTGCTTCAATTAACTTTTAAGTATACCACGACAAAGATAAACGCCGTGTCAAATACAAATACACACGCAAACAAGAATACTTACAAGGATTGACAAAATGCAAAATTCAAACAAAAGTCGAGGCCTCAAAAGGCTTCCTCCGACCACCTGCCTCTACTACGCACCGATGTTTGTGTTTTGAGAGCTTCACAATCATGCTACACAATGCTGATGTGGCAAGAATAATTTGCAGTAATTTATCATGTCACCCTGGCAGCGCGGCGGCAGCAACTCAACGCAGCCACTTGCGTTTAATTTTTGTCAATTTAATTTCGCAAAGCGTGTAATAACAGCGGCAACAACAACAGCAGTAGTGAAGGCGAGGGCCAAAGAATAAGCAGCAATATGCAAACAATCAAGCGGATAACCGCCGCCAACCGTGTGGCTTCCGTTTCCTGAGGCAAAGCGAGGTGGATAGCAACACAGCTTAAATGCACAGTTGCAACATGCTGTGGCACTTTGCATACTCTTTAGCGTGACCACGTAATGCGCGGATTTTTGCATATAAGCCACACATCCCAACACCCCCACACACACATGCACACACATACACTTACATAAGCTCACGCTCGATTGCCGCTATAAATCGTCCTTCATTTATCATATTTAATGAAAATCGCCAGCGTTGCCAACTCCAACCTCAACCAATCACCACCACCGAAAGCAACACTCACAAGTGGATCGTGCTTGTTTTTGTTGTATTTTGTTGTTGTTGTGTATTACCACACACAAGTGCATATTCCCACACACTTTATCTTGCGATGCTTAGAAATTTTCATCATCAATCGTCGCGGCTTCTCCTCACTTTCCGCTTTTATCATCAAAACATCTCGCTCTCTCGCCCACTCACTCTCGCTCGATTTGATCAGTGCAGCTTTGTCACAGCTGTCACGTGCGTAATTAAATTGACGCATTAAAATGATTTCATTCGAAATGCTCAACATTCGACGCACATTGCTTGCATAAACGGTATCTGGGGATTAACTGCACCAAGACTACGGCCGGACAAGCGAGTAAGCCAATTTTCACTGATTTTTCACACCACCCAACGAAGGTATGAGTGCTTTGCATTTAATGTTAAATTGGAAACGTCATTAATCAAGAGGTGCAATGAGCAGGGATTTCGTAGCATTTGTGTTGCTTCATTTTTTACACGAGTGCTCCATGTATAGCTTCGTAAGTGTATCTTACAACAGCCGAAATCCACTTTGTAGTGAAGGTTGATGTCATTTCCATTAACATTCCATTCATTAGTTGAAAGTTCTATGTGGATTAAGGTGATAGTTTTTAGTGAATGACGGGTTTCCCTTAAATATGCAGAAGTATAAATATAAGTATCATACATATCCGATAGATAGAAGTAAAATATGTAAGAACAAAAAAACACGTTAACTTCGGTTGCATCGAAACTATCTCGTAATACCCTTGACATATACTAAAGATTGGACAGTAATCCATGTTTAATTTCATGAAGATATTTCGTCAAATTAAAAAGGTTTCCATACAAGAACATTACTTTGGAAAGCGATGTGTATTAATTTGCCGGCACTACCGATATCGGATCACTATAGCATATAGCTGCCATACAAAAGGATCGATCAAATTCAAGTTCCTGTATAGAAAGTTTTTTTATTTGTGAATTCGGTGCAAACCTTAAAGCCACTTTTGGTATCAAATTTGGTATTCTAACTTAACTTTATTAAGATGTCTCAAAATTTTAAAAGCGAATGGAGACTTTGCGAATATATTTCCAACATTTTTTTCAGAGAGAATTGATACAGATTGGTAGTTTTATATGTATTAAATTGTTTCCAATACCATATTTAGCTTAAATTTTTTATAGTTTTGAAACAAACGGTTATATGGAAAGCGGTCGTAGGTAGTTTGCGAGTTATGAACTTTTAACCTATCCTCTCTATTTTCTCGCCAATGGTTTGAATATTTTGAAACTATATAAGCGTCTTTACTGTGTGATCTTACCCTAATAAAAATAAAGCATAAAGAACCGCAGAACTAATAGAGTTAATCTTATTCGGAGGTGGAAGTTGAGGAAAATCTTAAAAAATGGGGAACGAAACTTGTCAAAAAATCTTTATCTAACATGAAGAGATTGCATTTACACACGACGCGGGAAAACTGTTATAATAGATATGATCGGGACTTTAACTCAATACCTGAATCTGAACTGAATATAGGGATGACCTCTAGTTCAAATTTTTTGGCATTCATATTCTGGGGTACAAATTCTTAACAACCACCGACGAATGATATAATATTTTATGATTCCGTTTCTTTTCAGAAATATAGCCTAAATTTTAACATTGCCGCACCCAAATCCGAGTAAACTCGATTGCAATTATGGGTATCTTCTTCCAAGAAAAGTGGAACTATATTTATAGTAGACTCTGTGTGTTTCAGACTCAATTTATTATTCAAGAAATGTGGCAACAGAGCCCAAATAACTTTATTTTGTACCAAACAATGTTAGAGTCGTAGTACTTGTATAAAGGCAAAAATATTTTATAAATGAAATGAGAAAGAAGGAATTAAAGTACGTTCAAGAGCTATTGAAAGTATTTAGATTCATGGATTAGTCAACTGAAATATATTTTCTTCTTTCGACTTTTTTCTTTCATTTGGGAATGCCATTTATTATAAACGAATTTTCTGGAATAGATATACTACATAGATCGAAGAGAATTTGGTTTAACTATGAAGAAACATTTTCATTAATGGCTTTATCCATATAATGTAATGTCTTGTTGTAACGGCCCTTCAACATTTTCATACCGGTTCTACAGTGTGAAACTTATGGTAGAGGCCTTCAAAATAAGGGTTATTTCCATCTTGAACTTTTTATTTGAGTTCATATTATTCCAATGAACCACTTTTAGAGCCTGGGAATAAGGAAATAATGGATAGCAAAAGCGAAGGGTATTGGACTATTTCATAGTCTCTCTTTAACATCGATAGTATTATAAGCAGGATGAGTCGATATTTTTCAGTGTCACTACCTCTTGTGAACTTTCTGAATTCACTATTTGGGTATGGATACGATGAAATTCAACTAGTTCGAGAAAGTGTAGCTGGCAGTTCTTTGTACAAAATAACATTAATTAGGTTAGTTTTATGTTAGGTGTAGTAAAAAGAAATCCATTATTTTTCCAATAGATGGCGTTATTAATCCGTATCTCGCGTTGACATGAGATGACGTTTCTAAAAAAGCTTTTCTGACAGTTTCGTAATTAGCTGATTCAGTTTTGTTTGAGCGCGCGTCAATGATGGACACTAACAAAGAGAAAATACGCTATATTTTACAATTTTTATTCAATAAGGGCGAAAATAGCGTTTACGGTCCTGATACTGTAACAGCCAATCATGCGCAATTTGGTTTCGTCGATTCCGTTCCGGTACTTTCGATGTCAAAGATGCACCACGGCTCTGAAAGACCAATTATCGAAAAAATCGTTCAAATAATGGTAATCGTCGAGTTCAAACATCGATTACGATTGCCCAAAACCTAAACATTGCACAATAAACCGCTTGGAACCATTTGAATAAGGCTGGATACGAAAAGTAATAATTAAAGCATTCAATTTCATGCAAAAATAATGGATTTACTGTACACATATAATACATATGTATAATAAATACGAGCACTCCTTTATAAGCATCATTATTTCTTCAAATGTATTAAAATGTCACATTTTCCAGAACGACAAAAACAACATCAACATCAGTACAAAAACTCCTCATTGAAGGCAATAAATTCACATATCCTTGCTAATAAATTAGAGTATCAAAGGATAAGTTCACATGGGTATTTAACTCACAACATCAATGTTAGTGGAGAATAGCAAAAGCAACAACACTACGCATAGCATCAAAAGTTAAGTGAGTCAAAGGTGAACCTAAAGGGGGATAAGGTGAATAAACGCACATTAACCTGAGAAAATAATACCCAAGGATACAAACACCGCTAGGATATCAAAACGAAACTTTGACATGCTTTCGTGCCCCGGGGACCAACACAGAAGTCAACGTGCGTGCGAATTAACAGTAAGGTAATATAACCGAAATGAAGGCGGCACGCAATTTACTTTTACTATGATGTGGTTACCCATTAAAAAGGTAAAAATCAAAGAGCAAGCGGCAGCATGGCGAGGATATGCCAAATATTCAACTTGAATTCCATAAAATTAACTTTAATCAACAATTTGTGTACGCAAAAATTTAAGAACAAAGCTTTTCGAAAATTATTAAAAGCGCAAAGCTGGAAAAAAGGGATACACCAGGCAGAAGTGAGGTCGAACAGAAGAGTAGCGATATGTATGAGGGCTATAGCTTGAGGCGGCGTTGACCTCAGAAGGCTTCAGAAGCACATAGTTGGCGGAATTGTTTGTTTGCCATTTGTTGGGATTAACGCTGAGATTGGAAGCGCATCAACCGCTACGCCGAACAGTTCAAACAATCACCACAACAACAGCAATACAAATGAAGTTGTTATGTTGGCATTAGTGATAGGAATGAAATAGCCGTCCGAAAGCCGGTGAAGGCTATGATGATGACCACGATAAGCGCCGGCAAATAGAAATGAATGTCACTGAGTAATCAAAATAAATGTGTTGCTGTTGTTGTCGCACTAACGCCCCAAAACGTAGAAAAAAAGGTGAAGGTAAGGCAAAAAATTACCGTTGTAAGAACATGATGAAAAATAAATCAACACGCATGACAACAGCGCTATTAAGACACATATTTGTTGTTGTAAGAGTATATGTGCTCTTATCCTTCGGCCGACGGCTAACAAATTTGCTGAAATGTACTGACATGGCGTGTGTGGCCATGCAGCAACATAGACAGCGCTGATAGTGGCGCAATGGTAAGCTTCTAAGCCCTTGAGCATTTATTTTTATTAACTTGCTAGTCGCCAATCTGCAAGGACATACCAGGATATCAAATGGATAAATTGCTAGGATTTGTGCAGTAGGAATTATATATGAGACATTTTCATTATTTGGTGACTTCAAAAAAATGATTTTATTTGAATAGTTTTAATGTCATATGTAGGTTCCTCAGCTAAGTTCTCAGACATCGCTTTTGCTACCTCTTTTTTGGTACGAGTTTAGCATTGACACGCTTTGTACCCAAAATATTAACCAAAATGTGTTGAGTCCATCGATAAAAATGTTGTCATCCCATGTTATCTCTCATACTTTTTTCAAGCACCGATTCTTTAACTTTTTCGATGTTATCGTCATTAACAGAGGTGAATGGACGACTCGCATAAGGGAAGGTTTCGATGACTTCACGACTTTCAGTGAATGCTTAGCGGCACTCAAATATATGAGTTTGTGATAAAATACACTCCCCAAATCCATGGTAAAAATCGCCAGACAAACTTCTCGCACCCGCAAAAATTAAAATCAAACTTGATATGCGTAAACTTTGCTTACTTCGACATTGAATAAAATTATTTCCCTGTTTTAATAATTTGGATGTGGAACAATTGATTATACCGGTTGATTTTTCCCTAGTCAGCAAGTAGATAATGTAGATTAACACCAGAAATCGGTGCATATCTTATATAACAATATCTCTGAGAATATGTTATGTTATAGCGGAAAAAAACAACCTTTAACTATTTTTGTAGTGTCCACTAGTATTGAAAATTCTTGATGGGGACTCTTCCGGTTACGTAAAATCAATTGTTGTGGAAATTGGTCAAATAAAACTAGACAAGCTTGGTATCCTTTTTATAAAAATAAAAGCGTACATAATCGGTTCATAAATTCTTCCAATTATCAATTCCAAATTTCGGAGACAATTTACATTATTTTTACCTTAATAACTTTTTTCATATTCTTACAAAATGCAAGAGTGTTTAACATTCGCTTTTAATTCCGCGCAGCGGATTAAAAACTAAAAAAAAATTTGAGTCACACATATCGAATAAAAAAAAACTATTTTTAATCTCAAAAACCAGATAAAAATTTTATTTTTAATTTTTTATCCCAACTACCGGATTGAATAATAAAAGAAAAAAATTAACCTCAAGCATATAATTAAGAATTAAAAAAAAATTAGAATTAACTTTTTTTTCGGAAATTAAAAACTTAAAATTTTTTCATCCCAAATCGGAAAAATTTTATTCATAAGCATATAGTTAAGAATTAAACAAAAATTTAGAATTAACTTTCTTTTGAAAAGTTTATTTTTTAACCCAACATCTGGATTAAAAAATGAAAACCTAATTTTTAAACCCAACATGAATGAATAAAAAAATTCGCAACCCCGATGTATTTTAATTTTTAACTTCTCTTATGCAAATTATCTATATAATACTAACTGTTATCATAAATTCATTTACCACACGCATACGAATATGTTTTACAAAAAACAAGCAAATCGTTTCACGAATTTTTTACAAGCATAACAAAATCAGAAAAATAAATGGTCGTATGTTACAAAGCATACAACAGTAGGGGTAGCATAAAATAGCCATAAAGAGTCCTTAAAGATTAATTAATCTTCTGCACATGTTACAACCTATCTCTGAGTTCACTCACAAATGCCTAGTTGGTTAACTGTCTACCACTTTACCAACGCCTTCATTACCCTAATCATGCATAGTGACCATTAAACTGGCCAGTGAGTAGAAAAAATATAAAGGGTTGCCATTTGTACATTGAGGTCGTGGGAAGAGAACATAGGTCATACGTACCAGAAAAGGAAGGGAAAATATTATCGAGTTCTAAGTCAGACTTTAGCCTTTACCGGAATGCCCTCAGCCGATGGCCTTTCTTGGAATAATGAATACTTCAAATCTTTGTTTTTTTCATCAATCATCAATAATCAATCGATTTCCTTGAAATTTGATATACATTATATATTCTTTATGTGTCTTTTATCGCATGAGCCAACAAAATTTTTAATTTTTAATATTAAAAAAAAATCGAGAAAGTTAAAAAATTAATCAAAAAATCGATTATATGGAAATTCACTTTGTATATTCGTAAATTATGATACAAAAATTGATTGTAAAAATACCAAAAAACAAAAAATTCGGGACCCTAGACTAGAAACTTCATTCAGCAGAATGTACACGTTTCTCTCAGCCAAGCTTTTCACCTCTGTATGAAATATACAAAAAAATCTTCAAATCAATACAAATCATTTGGCAACCCTGCTATAGCTCAAATATTTCCATACTACATTGCCAAGTTACATAAGCTTTTCGACGCTCAGCTAATGACACAAAACGGCATAGCCTATCTAGTTGTATATGCATGTGTGTATAAGCAACAGGGTTAATTTATCTCTTAACTCGTTTAAACACCCACCCGTACAAGCCCTTCCCCCTAAACTTTAGCAGTGTTCCACGCCAGTTCAACTATAACTGTATGTGTGCGTTGTGGCAGAAGGTTTGCTTAACTGACCGCTCGGCCGGCTGGTCAACTGAGCGGCTAGCGGTTTTCGGGCTTATCTCTTGCTCGCCTACGCTCCGTTTCGCGAACTCGGGGGCCACTTTGAAGAAATAATTAATGACCATGTTTTTGCCACTGTTGCCCATTGTGGCAACAACCGCCGTTGAACGTCCGAGTGCGCCTGTACTCGACAACTTG